GAATCTGGAGAACGGTGTTCCACCTATTCATCTTTGCCTTCACATGCGGGACTTTCAACCAGGGAAGTCCATCGCCTCCAACATTATTGATGAAGGAATAATGGGCAGTCGTAAAGTCATTGTGGTTGTGTCTCAACACTTCATTGATAGCGCCTGGTGTCGCTTTGAGTTTGAATTAGCTCAGTCCCGGTTTATGATGGAACGCAATGCCAACATCATCATCGTCATTCTGGAGGATGTGGAAGAGACGAAGACTAAGAAAGTGTTTGGTCTTCATAAGCATCTGAAAAAGAACACGTACCTGAAGTGGAGCAGGGACCCTTTGAGTAACATGAGATTCTGGATACGGCTCAGGAGAGCTATTATTGCCACAAAACAATAATTTTACATTTACTTCGGATATATTATGTTTTGAATAAATAAACTTTTGCACAATTTTAAGAAGATTTATTGCATTTTTAAGTTTTTCAACCATTTTTCACAGAGTAAAGTTATTGATCCTTTAAAATACTGCTGAATGGCTTTCTATTCATCATGGGAATGTACTTTAAATATGAATAACTTCCCTTTTGAAACAAAAGGCAGAAGTGAGAGTTGCTTGGAATTATGCACTACCTCGACAATAGAGTATTCACCGATTTAAATTAAATGGTACGTCCTTTACACATACTATCACAATGATCTTATCATACCGTGAACTCATGATTTTCCTAAGCTCAATTTTGATTCTTGTGAATGCTGGAGAAGGACAGGAATGTACCACGGTAAGAACAATACATACAGTTTATAGTTATCGTTAATATAGTTCATATACTCTATGTGCTTTAAGGCTAGGGTCTTAGAGAATACTATTTGTTTACGTAAGTGTTTATGCATTGTTATTTTGATCAAATGCTATAGTATTATAAACATGCTGGACTTCTGAATTTATTTTGTAATTATTTGATGCTCAGGTTCTTTTCATTATATTATATTATATTATATTATATTATTAGTCATTTATAATTAGCCTCATTTTCTAAGGGAAGGGATTGAACCCCTACTGTATATATCTATAGGCTATCTTATACCAAATTAAAGAGGCCTTAGGATCTCTCAGACAGAAAAAAAAAAACAGAAATACCAAAAGTAAGTTTTAAAAAAGGATATAATTGTGTCTTTGTTTATTAATAGATAATAAAGAATATGGAATACTCATGTTTTGGGAGAAATCTGACTCACATTCCCAGCAGTATTCCCCTCACTGTGACGTCTCTGGATTTCAGTTTCAATTTCTTGAACTCTTTACATAAGTGTGTATTTCCTGTATTGTTCAATTTACAAGTTTTGGACCTCACAAGGTAAATGATCATCAATTAATGCATTACAATTTTAACACGTTAACTATTGTTTAATGCACTAATTTGTAATCTTCTGGGCTTTCAGATGCCACATCGAGCACATTGAAAATGATACTTTCTACAATGTGAAGAATTTGACTAAATTGATTCTCACTGGAAACCCTATTGCATATTTTGGACCTGGATGCTTGAATTCTTTACATAATCTACAGAGGCTAGTTCTTGTGGATGTTGGTCTCGCGTCCTTACAGCTTCAAATGAATAACCTTACTAAGCTACGGGAACTTAGAGTTGGAACAAATGGCATCCAGTCCGTGTCTCTCCCTCCATTCATGAGCTCCTTTAAAGATTTCAGTTTACTTGATCTACATGCCAATAACATATCCATCATTAAAACTGATCACACTGTTGTGTTGAGAAAGATTGGCAGAAACATGACTTTGATTCTCTCTAGGAATCCATTATTACACATTGAACCAGGAGCTTTCCAAGATGTTTTTCTCAGAGAGCTGGATATTCGATCTGCATTTGTTTCATTAAATGCACAAAATAGTTGTCTAAACGCTCTTACTGGTCTCAGTGTGGATAAGTTGTTCATGGGAAGTTACAGAATGCAATGGAAAATCCAGGTGTCAGATCCAAATTATCTCGATGCTCTTTGTTCAGTTAATTTCAATGAAATATATCTTGTTCAAAAAGAATTCTCTGATTCTGAAATGAACTTGTTCCATTGTATGATCAATGCAACAAAAATCACATTGAAAGTTGGATATATCAAAAGAATGGAACATGTTCGATTTCACCGTCTTAAGGAACTGTATTTAGGTCACACTTTATTATCTGTTGTACCAGATATTTCACACATACCAAGCTTAGAAAAATTGGTGGTGAAGAATATTGTGCCTATGTCCTTTTTTGGTATTGGTATTGGTGTCAGTGACTCTCTTCTTCAGTATGTCGATTTCAGTGGAAACCTTTTGATTTTGAAGGACTGCTGTTACCAATTTTTTCCAAGTGCACCAAATATTCGATTCTTGAATCTTAGTCAAAACTCAGAGATAAGTATGGTTAATAATCCATTTTCTGGACTTGAAAAACTTGAAGTGTTGGACCTCCACCGTACAAAACTAGTTATTGTTTTTTACTTTACATTTTTACGAGGTCTAAAAAATTTAAAGTATTTGGATATTTCCTACACAAGTATTACTGTAACAAAGTACATGATTTTTCAGGACCTGCAAAATTTGACTGTGCTAAAAATGGCGGGAATCAGTTTCAGTGGAGATATATTGAGATATTTCTTACAAAATATTACAAATTTGGAAGTTCTTGACCTCTCACACTGTGGCATCGGAGAAATCTCCAGGACTTCTTTTACTGGCACGCAGAAACTAAGACATTTATATTTAAGCAAAAACAAGTTGATGGTTTTGGACTTTCTGGCCCAACCAGAGCTGAAACAACTTACATCAATTTATATCGATAAGAACAGCATTTCTAGCATCCCACTTCATGTTCTCCAAAAGTTCCCTGCAAACCTTTCAGAGTTGGACTTGTCCTCCAACCCCTTCGATTGTTCCTGCTCCCAGACAGATATTATTTTGTGGATCATCCAAAATCAGAACATTTTGAAGCAATCAGAAAATATTTTCTGTAAAACCTTGTCACCAAGCTCAGATTTTAGAGCAGTGGACTTTGACATTGACAGCTGTGTGCAAAAGAAAAGACTCACAATTGTTGTATCAGTATGTATTGTTTCATTAGTAGTTGTGTTGTCAGGCTTGGCTTATAAGTTCCAGTTTTATCTTCAGTATTTTTTTATTTTACTGAGAGGCTACAGATCAACTGGACAACAAGAATGTTCCTATGATGCATTTGTGATTTTCTCCAGCTATGATGAAGTCTGGGTCATGAATGAACTGATGGAGAATCTGGAGAACGGTGTTCCACCTATTCATCTTTGCCTTCACATGCGGGACTTTCAACCAGGGAAGTCCATCGCCTCCAACATTATTGATGAAGGAATAATGGGCAGTCGTAAAGTCATTGTGGTTGTGTCTCAACACTTCATTGATAGCGCCTGGTGTCGCTTTGAGTTTGAATTAGCTCAGTCCCGGTTTATGATGGAACGCAATGCCAACATCATCATCGTCATTCTGGAGGATGTGGAAGAGACGAAGACTAAGAAAGTGTTTGGTCTTCATAAGCATCTGAAAAAGAACACGTACTTGAAGTGGAGCAGGGACCCTTTGAGTAACATGAGATTCTGGATACGGCTCAGGAGAGCTATTATAAATCAATAATCTGAGCATGTACACAATATAGGCTACATGTGAATGTATTGAATTTAATAAACGGATCAAATAAACGGATGCTTTTTTATTTAAACTAAGAATCTAAAGAAGGCATCCCATTTTGTTAGTCAATCATTCACATTCACAGGGCTGTAATGTTTGCCTGAAAACAGCACACAGGCTTTTTAGATCCTCTTGGCAATGCACTTGAAACAAAAAGAGAGAAGTGAAAGTTGCACAATACAGTGTAAACAGATCTTTATCAAACACTATTGTGCTTTGTGGTCAAATAGATTTAAGCCCCACATGATCTCATGAATGTGTTACTGGAAACAACAATGTTACTGGAAACACTTGTGTATTTGCCAAGTAAAATTCAATAAATAGCAACAGAAAAGTTACTAGTTAAGTGCATGATGACTCTATAGCTGAATTCCCAACCTTCTGACTGTTGTTTTTCTACGTAATAGTTTCACATATCTCTACATCTATCTGAACTTCGAAATTCACGTACAAATTTTAATGAAAGAATATTAACTGAAATGTTTGCCATTTCAAAACTCATGTCCATTATATTGACGATGATTTAGGCTACTTGTGAGGAATTTAACTACCGATTCTCACAGGAAACTGTGTTACACCTTGATGCTTGAATTCTGTAAACATTCAATTTAATTTCAAATTTAAAAATGAATTACTTTAAGCTGTTGCGTGTGGACATGATTTGAAGGGACAATTTTATTACTAAAATATTATAAAGTTTGTATAAGGAAAAGTAGCTTTTATTTTAATATATGTGTAGGCCTATGGCTATTGAATGCTTTATTCTTGGTTGATGAATGTTCTAAGGTGTGGAATTATTTAAGTTTATTATTTAATAAATGCAGCTAAAGTAGTTCCAGGCAGGTCTTGACCACATTGCAGTTCCATATTAGCTACTTCGCTAAATATATATATTTTTTATTTATTATTTCACAGGTCCTTACAGCTTACAACAGCAAAAGAACCAAAACCCACAAAGACACTGACCTAGCAAAACAATCAATATGACACAAATGACAACCTCAATGTTTCCCCCTCAAAATCACGTTTTTTAATCTATGGAAAGCACGCTCTATTTTTACACACACACACACACACACACACACACAACAGCATGCATCGCGTCGTCACATTATTTTTCTGATAATCAGACCATCGTCGATTTTTCCTACTTAACCACTGGAGAAAACTTACCAGACACTTCACACATGGTTTACTGTTAACAATGGGGCCTTTGTAAAAAGATATTTTACAATGTTTATGTTTCAGCATTCACATTTTTGCTATTCAATTTGTTCTGACATCATGTCAGCAGCTAACCTGCTAAACTGGTTTGTCACACACGGTTCACATTCCTCTATATATAATGAATGTGTCAGTGCGGTTTCATTGAAACTACTTTTTACCCCACAAGCTTGTCTTTGGATTATGCCGTGAGAGTTTTAACATGTCTCGGAGTAGTTCAGCGAACCATAGCCGTTACAGCACTCTGGAGAAACCCAGACGCAATGGAAGATACAGCAGCTCCAGCAGCCGCAACAGCTCCAGAGAAGTGCTGTGCGATTTCTGTCTGGCAAAGAAGAACAAGGCGGTGAAGTCATGTTTGACGTGCTTGACCTCATTTTGTGAGACTCATCTCCAGGCTCATTATGAGTATCCAGCTCTCATGAAGCACAAACTGGTGCCAGCAACAGGGCAACTGCGTGAGAAGATCTGCGCTGAACATGATAAACTTCTAGAGGTTTTCTGTCGTTCTGATCAAGCATGTGTTTGCGTTTTGTGTATCATGGAGGAACACAAAAAACATGATATTGTTTCAGCAGCAGCTGAAAGGACAGAAAAGCAGGTGAGCTTTTTGAAAATGACTCATTGAAGAACCATAGTATGCTTTTAAACTAAGTAGGTATGCTATAGTATGCTTTTTGTTCCAAGCCTATATGAATTCTGAATGTTCATTTTTGGGGGAACTATCCGTTTTACAGTCCAGTGTCTCACGAATTTGCTTTTTTGAAATTTTCAACAGAAACAGCTTGGAGCGAAACTGATGACTTCACAGCAGAAGATTGAGGAAAGGACGAAGAAATGGCAAGATCTCAGGCAGGCAGTGGCATCCATAAAAGTAAGAATTTTTGAAAATAATTATAAAGAATCCTCTGTTTATCTTTTATTATGGCACTTATTTGCTCTTAAAATGCTGTTACGCTGACTTGCCCACTGCAATGTAGGCTACAGTACAATACCATACCATATTACATGTATTTTTGTTTTATATTAAATCAAACATTTTACAATAAAGTTCTATTTGTTCTAGTTAATTAATACTTTACGTCAGAGTTTCCAAAACATTGCGAGGAAACTGCTGGGGGCTTGAGAGTCGATGGAAGCCTAATCATTAATTATTTTAATAGAAATGTAAAATTAAAATTAATAATAGGGCTAATACATAAAAAATAAAAAATAAACGTATTTGAATATGCTGAATTTTCAGTAGGCTATCATTACTCCAGTTTACAGAATCACATGATCCTTCAGAAATCATTTTAGTTTGCTTATTTGATGCTCAAGAAAGTATTATCATTATCATTATTGTTATCAAAACAGCTACTTAATATTTTTTTAACAAAATCGAGATACATGTCATCTTGATGAAAGAAAGTTTGGAAGAACATAATTTATTAGTAATAAAAATATTTTGTAACATTACAAATGTCTTTACTGACACCTTTGATGAGGCCGTTCACACAGAACCCATTTTTTTTTTTTATATTTAAACACATTAAACGGACTTCTTGCGCTTTTTTGCAGTGCCGGCTCGAGCATGACACGCATGTTCCAAAAAAGCTGTATTATTAAAGTATATTTATAAGTATATTATAAAAAGTATTATTATTATTATTATTTAATGTACTGACCCCATTTGAATAGCAGTGTATCCTAAAACATAATTAGACATATGTTTTTCATCTGTAGTGAGAGAAGTAGCTAGGCTAAAAAAATAAAATAAAAAATAAAATCTAGTAGCCTAGTTTAATGTTCATTTCTACATATCCTAAATATTAAACATCTTAGTTTAATAAATGAAGATTAATTAAATATACACAAATTGTATAAATTATATCAATAATGAATACTTTTTTATAATTATTGTAAAGTGTTACAATTAAATTAGCTCAAAATGCTATTTTCTTATTTAACAGGACCTCCAATTTTAAAAAGGTGCTCTGCTCTTGTTCCATCTCCATAGATATCCACAATAAAGGCTAGATATCTCGTCCACGCTGCTGGCCAATGGAGGTCGACGTCTGCACCTGGCGGCCATCTTGTCACAGGCAGCTCGCTCACTCGTAACATTGTGTTTTAATGGTGCATGTACTTTTTAAATAACCATAACTTGCTCAATTTTCTACCGATTTTCAAACGGTTTGGTTTGTTATAAACATCAGAGATGTAGTTATGACACTGCATACTTATGAATAATAAATGTATAAATAAATAATCATCCAGAATTATAGCCACATTAATAACGTTTGTAAGAAACCAAACCGTTTGTGAATCCGTCAAGATTTCAACGAGATAAGAGTATTTGTGTGCGTGCTGATCACTCATCTTACATCAGCTTGCCTGTGACAAGATGGCCGCCGGTAATGATGATAGAAACTCCGCCGTAAGACATCTAGCCTTTATTGTGGATATCTATGTTCCATCTCTATCTGACTGGTATTGTAAATGAAATCATGTGCAGTCCCTATCTCATCTATGGTGTTTTCTCATTCCAGCACTCATCTCAAAGTGTGTTGGATGAAAACGAGCGTATTTTCACTGAACTGCTGCGAGCACTAGAGAGGAGGCATGGAGAAGTGAAGGAGATGATCCGAGCCCAGGAAACCCGTCTGCTGACACATGCAGAGGGACACCTGGCCAGGCTGGAGGAGGAGATTACATTACTAAGAAAGAAACATAATGACCTGGAGCAGCTGTCCCAATCCGATGATCATATCCACTTCTTACAGGTATTTGTGAAAAAGTGCTGTTAAACTGTTCTTGTTAAACTGTTCCCTATACAGTATGATAAAATAACATTTCTGCTCCCCTATAGAGCTGGCAGTCTCTCTCTGCTCCTTCTGGATATGAAGACTTGTCCAAAGTGACATTAGCCCCTCACCACACATTTGACAATGCAAAGAAAGCCATCTCTAACCTGAAAGTGCAATTAGAAGACATAAGCAAGGGAGAAATGATCAAAATCTCATCAGCAGGTGCTTAAAACCCTTATATTGCAAATATATGCACATAATGTGTATGTGTGTGTGTGTATATATACACACACACATACACATACATGCATACACTACCATTCAAAATTCAGTAAGAATTTTAAAAATATTTTTGAAAGAAGTCTCTTATGCTCACAAGGCCGCAATTGTCTGATAACAAAATACAGTAAAAACATTAATATTGTGAAATATTATTACATTAAAATTTGAATATATATATTTTAAAATGTAATTTATTCCAGTGATGGCAAAGCTGAATTTTCAGCATCATTACTCCAGGCTTCAGTGTCACATGATCCTTCAGAAATCAATGCGTTCAATTCAAATCAATGGAACATAATGATTTATTTTTCATTTGCAGTAAAAGAGGTTAAAATTCTCCAGACTGTGGACCCAGCAAAAAGGGAGGACTTCTTAGAATGTAAGTTTATAATCAACAGTAGTTTTATATAGAAACACATTTGTTTATGGTGGTTAATTTAACAACACCTCTTCTCGGCCTAGATTTCTGTCAGCCCTCAACAGATCCTTTAACAGCCCACCCGAACCTGCACCTGTCAGACAAAAACACAGTGGTGCGGATGAGCAACGAGCCAAAGTCGTACCCAGAGCATCCCGATCGATTCGAATACTGGCAGCAGGTGCTGTGTAAGGAAGGTCTGGCCGGCGGCCGCTACTACTGGGAAGTGGACTGGAGTGGCACAGAAATAGACATTGCTGTGACTTATAGAGGAATTGAGAGGAAAGGAAACGACAAAACGGGCAGCTTTGGGGGGAATGACAAGTCTTGGAGTTTGTACTGCTCTGAATCCGAGTACTCCTTTGTACACAACAACAAAAGCACCACTCTATCTGTCCCCAGTTCCTCCAGGATAGGGGTGTATGTAGACTATGAGGCTGGGACAGTGGCATTTTATAGTGTGTCTGACAAGATGAACCTTCTTTATAAGGTTCAAACTAAATTTACTGAACCCGTCTACCCTGGCCTTGGAGTCTGGGGGTACGGAACTACAGTGCGACTGTAAATATAGAGATATATTTGTTTGCTGAATGTTGATCAGCATGCGGTTGTCACATATTTATTTTATGGTATGGTATGGTATGGTACAAATGCTTTATTTCGAACAAATAAAAAATAAAAACACTAAATTGGAAAAGACAGCAATACTTATGATATTTCCATCAGTAAGTGAAAAAAAAAAAATATATATATATATATATATATATATATATATACACACACACATAATAACCGGTTTGAAAAGGGATAAGTAGAAGCTCTTGGCTTATCAGGACCTAGGCCTACCCCCAGTAACTACCATCTTCTCTTCTTTATCATTTTAGTCAGTTCAGTGAGAACAGGAAGTGAGTCACTTTGCTTCCCTCTTTGGGCATCTGCATCAAATATGAATCACTGACCTCATTCTGACATCAGTATATCAGTTATCACTATCAGCAGTGCTTAGAAAATAGCAAAACGTTGATTTATTCATTTGTTTGGTTTTTTTTTTCAAATATAAATCGTAAATTAGCTTATTGATTTATTTATAATGTCTTGGTTCCAAATACTCAAGACCAAGTGTGTCCAATCTTGCTCCTGGAGGGCCAGTGTCCTGCTGAGTTTAGCTCCATCCCCTATTAAAAAAACCTGAACCAGTTCTTGCATTCTGGAACCTTCCAGGCAAGTGAGACACGTATCACCTGTGAATCCTTCACTATGATGTGTTACTTGTTTTATGATTCCATCACAACATAAAATAATACAAAATATTTATCATAGAGTGAAAACAAACTGTCTTTTGCTACACTTCTGAAATAATTTTAATCAAATAAAAATTGCGTTTAGTGTTGCATTGGCCTTCTGCACTGTAAAAAATGCTGGGTTGTTTAAACCCAAAGTTGGGTTAAATATTGACAAACCCAACTATTGGGTTAAATTTTAAATATAAGACTTAACTCAACGGTTTGGTTTATACAACCTAGCATTATTAGAGTGTGTTTTTTGTCAAAGGTCCAGATGTGGAAAACATATTGTAGCCTATATCTCTCCACTAGATGGAGCTATTTCAAACTTGTTGATATTTGTTATACTCAATTTCACAGTAATGCTGAGCTAGGCAACTCATGTGTTTTGAGTTGTTTTATCTTGAATTTGCACATTTTACAATGACTGATACGACTAAATCTCTATCATTGTGAGGCTTAAGAAATATTTATATGCTCAGAACGAGACAAACTTTTCACAATCAATATCTACATTCACAAGTCTGTTTTTATGACTCATACATCACTCATTCTTCTGCACATTCTTATCCATGAATATTATTTTCATCATACACACAATATCATCAGCCGGTTATGTCAGAATATCAAAAGAACAAAAAACATGTTGACGGTGAAGAAACTCGCAGAAACGTGAACATTGTTAAGGATTGCTATTATGGAGGAGGGGACAAAGATACTGTTTCAGCACTTACACAACTTTTCATAGTCCACTGTGTTGTCTTCAGATTGGCTGTTATGGGAAATATAGAAAAAGGAACTGTATTCAATATCTTGTGAAATACAGCCCAAATTGATGAGCTTTGTTTTTATAGGTTATTCTGTGAAAATTTAGCTCAGAATAAAGTACAAATTGTGTATTGTGAAACTATACTATAATTTTTTTTGCTCTCTGATAGTTAACACCCAATATGTCTGACAAATAGACAGAATACGTTTGGTAACAGCTATTCTGAAAATCTGACCAACCCTGTCAACAGGATAATAGTGTCTGCTGTGATGCTTGTCGGATAAAAATTGCTTCTTAAACAAGATGAGCAATGCGTTGAACATTACAACAACACATCTTATCAGAAGGGAATTCATATCAGAATGTACTAAAACTCTAATATAATCGTTTTAAATCATGAAGTACATTTTGTCTGGCAGAACATATTAGCATGTACAACCTCTTTATTAAATACAAGTAGCACATTTTGTTAAAGTAAAATTATCATAATCAAAGAATCTTAAAAAAAACAAACAACAACAACAAAAAAAACAATTATAATAATCTGTTCAGCAAGATTATTTGTGTATTTTTATTATTTTGTATTTACTCTATGAATTTGAATTTCTGATGATAAGCAAATAATAACTAAAATAGCTGGTTGTAGCATCTTATTAAAGACACTGGTCAAAGTCTGTGACCACTAATGAAAATAATTGTAAAAAAATATTTTTTTCACTTTTATATTTTAGTTTATTATCAGTGTAACAAGTTGAATTTTAGTTAACATTAACATGAATTTGTGTTAAAATTTGAAGATGGCAGAAATAGTCTGGGTTGTGTATTATATCACAGGTGATAAGAACTACAAAAACAATGATCAGTAACTTTACGTCGGGACATTACGTCAAATGATCACTTCAAGCTACCTATCTCATGATGCCTACAATGGCTTCTCCATCAAACAAATACAACAATAGACCTACATGAATCTGAACTTAAACAAAAACTGAAATACACGAATAGCCTACCTTAATATGTAGCTAATGACATAAACCACATGTTGATTTAAATGTTATTAAATTAGACTTTTTATGAACCATAATTAAAATAGGCTAATTAAGAATGTTTAAAATTGTTTACACGATCGATAGACCATCTGGGTAGCCTAACACACATGATAAACTAATTAAGTAGGCCTAAATATTACCTACACAATATTTAACGTAAAATTCGCAGTAGGCTACATACAAAAATATACAAAATAAAATCGTTATTTAGATCAAACATTCTGGTGACGTTTTCAAGCAAGCAGGCCAATTCCATTCTTTTTTACTTAGACCTAAAAAACATAACTGTAACACTTCACTGTACAAACATGTTAAATGTTCACTGTAAAAAAAAAAAAAAAAAAAAAACAACAACAAAGTTTCTAACGTCACCTTAGCTAAATTTCTAAGTAGCCTACAATAAACGTAATGTTTGATGTTTAAGTAATTTCAACAAAATTAGGCCTACATCAAACTGACTAAAACAAAAACTGTTGAATCTTGTATAGCTTATGGAAAAGTTGAAAATTGCTTAAATTATTTTAAATTATTATTAAAGCAATGTAAAAACATATCTATATGATTTTTACTAATTACATTTTTGTTTCAATGTACGGTAGGCTACAGTAAACTAACTCAACTCATTGTTTGTTTGTTTTTTTCTGTAGAGCTTGTTGTACGTTGTTTTAACATCAAAATTACAAACATTTTGTTCAGTGAATCAGGATGCATCAGTGCGTGTGTTGTGGGAGGCGGAGCTCCGGGAACAGCTGGAGTCTGGACGCTAGCGTTCAGTGAGTCCACACGGCGGGGACACGAGAGAGAGGCAGAGTTTATATTCCGAGAGGAGTGAGGCACCAGGATTCTGCTGGAAGAGCTCAGAGAAACACAGAGAGCCAAGGAAGATTACACAGCTGCGGTTAATTGGACGCTTGAGGAGTATTGAGAAACCTGTAGCTGTTACTGGTGATTGATGTTACCGTTTCTGAACAGTCTTCGCTCTGTCTGAGGGTTTAACAAAAGGTGGGAGACACGTCTGCTGTCCCCTATCACAGGGGGGAAGGTGAGATACAGTGTCCACTCTCTACACTACACACACGACTATTACACTTACGTTAAACTGCAACTTCAATCGGCCATTTTGCCAGGTTACCAATAGGATATTCTTCCAGATGCTTTTAAATCGACTTTTACTGTGTTTTTTTAATACAAATACACACCAGTTAGGCATGAAGCAGAATTTGCAGGCAATAAAATGCTCTGTTGTTTCTGGTCCACAAAAAAGCATAGACAGAATCACAGATATACACTGAGAGTTAAAAATGCTTAAACAAATGCTTATTTGTTATAAAAGTAAAAAAACAATAAACAATGTGATTATAATAATGCAAAATACACAGCTTTGCAAACAGGTATGCATTGTGCAAAACAAAATCATGTAAAAATGACAGTCTGTTTATTTATTTGTTGTCATCGTAAATATGTTTTTGTTGTTTTTGTCACAGATATGATATTTGAGATAAGCCGGTTTGGGGTCATGCAACAAGTATAAATGCACATTGATGAGCCGAGGGAGACGGGCTGGCGAAGGCGAAAGAAGTGGATGATTTTGAGGGGAGCAGTAGAGGATCGTGTTGCTGGAGATGTCTCTGTGGATGATCTTACCTGTCAGCCTCCCAGCTCTGACCATCACTGGAATATGGGTTGTGTAAGTCCATTTTATTTCATATCAAATTAAACGATCCTGCTTTGAATAGGTATGGATAAAACCTGTGCGGTTGTTCTGATTTAAGATTACATCACTTTCAGACCAGTTTGATTTTGAACTGGATGCACAGCAATTCAACAATGCTCTTTCTTAGAGGGAGGGATATAGACACAATGTGTCTGTTTGGTAAATTCCAACTTCATGGTCTATAAGAATAATTGATGTAGTTGTATAGTTGTAATTGTGTATGTGTCAGATTGTTTTAATAGTGTGATGTAGCCAGTACATGTAGAACATGTTGAAGTGTACTTTATGCAAAGTAAATCACAGTTTTAGTTTTGGCCTGCATTGAAATGGTTGCCTTCTCTCCCAACCAAGATCCAGCTAACGTTCTTAAAACTTTGGCTAACATTCTGGCAAGGTTCTCTTAAAGTTATGAACAAACTTTCTTCCAGTAACATTATCATGCATTCGATCTGGTCTTTAGTAATGTTCTCAAAACGTTAGCACAAAAACATTATTTATACATCAATCGGTCATATAACGTTTTTTTTTTCCAAAATGTCTTAGTTGGAGAACATTTTTTGAAAAATGACAAAATGGAATGTTCCTTTAACGCTCGCTTAAACAAGAAAAACTTTTTTAAAGTATTCAAAAAGCTAATGCTAATTGCTAATGAGAACATTAGCAATTAGCATTAGAATGTTAGCAAAAAGTTTTTTGTTAGCTGAGGAGAAAAGTCTGTTATGTCAGGTTTTTTGGTTGGTTGGGGGCACCTCAAAGCTGCTACTGAAACATGCAGTTTCAATGTGAAACAATTTATTATGGAAAGGTTTATTATGTGTGCAAAGATAAAATTACGAGCTAAAACATCTGAAATGCAGCAACTCTCAGTATTCCTGAACCTGCT